TGGGGAAAGTATCTCCCCCTGTTTGTCGGCCGTCCGCCTTACGGGAATATTTCGACAACCTGAATTATATCTTCGTCTCATTTCACGACTTCAGTAGCCAACTGAACGCTCCACACAAAGAAGAAATGCGCCTCACTTTCCACAATTCGTGATTTTTCATCATCAGGTGACGTATTCACAGTCGACCGTGTTTATTGACCTGGAAATTTCGTTCACTTAAACAAATTGCCATAGTAAAGGAGTTTCAATAATACAGGAGCATATACATTATACATAGACATTCTACACTAGGAAGTGGCAAATCTGAAAATGCCGTAGATTTCGAGAAATCAACCTCATTGTGCGAATAGCCAGCGCCCATTTTGCTGCGTGCGTTTCATCCAAATTTAAAAATTGCGCGTAATTTACCGTGGGAGAATCGAGGAATTAGAGACTACTTTCCTGTTTTGTTGGAATGGCTGTAGGAATATTGGAACATTTGGGTACTAGGATGGACACGTGGCTTGTTATATCGGTTCAACCTGTTGGCGCTCTTTTCGTCCGCCTATCCTCCCTGGCCGTACTGATTTTTTATTCCTAATATGCAGCGTTCTGACCATCTGGAACTGGTCGTTAGCGGGCTTGGATGTCCTCTTTTCGATGATCCCGAGAAAGCTGTCGAAGTAAACGAAGGCCATTCACTGGTTCCTTGGTGTGGTCAAAGATCCCTCCTCATCGACAGGTATGTTACACTGAATGGTCATATTGTCGTCATTTTTAAGCTGGTGATGTTTAATGGGATGTCTTCCGCATTTGCTTGTCATATATTCAGTGAAGACCACACGTTGACGTGATTCAGCTCGTAGGAACGATCGTTGCCTCTGAAAGGACGTTCTGACCCATTCTTCCGTTCACACACTGAAACTCATTAGTTCAGTACTTGTTGCCATTTGGAGACCGGGCCTCAAATAGCTTGGCTTGCACACATTCTGGTTCATTGTCTCCAGAAAGGCAGTCAACCAAGCCAGGAGACGTCATGACGCCATCATCGACAGCATGACATCAGTGTTCAGAATCAATACTTCGCTACCGTACAACCACGATTTATTTGGAAGCCTTACTGTAAAGAAAAAATAATAATAAAGGTAGACGGGAAAATTACTTACTGCTAGCTTACTACAATCATTTCGGGGTACCTACACCTCCGGATACTCAGGCAATCTGGATAGAAACTAGCAACAAAGTCCCCACTGACATCGGTTGGCAGTCTTATCTTACAGCGTCTTCAACCAGGCGCAATGGGGATCACGCACTCCTCCTCTTGGAAGGTGAGTAGCACTGACAGCACTCACGTTTCGTAATCTTGTAATGCACTGCTCATAAGGTTGCTGAAAATTCTTCGACAGCCCACGACCGGTTTCGCTCTTCTGGGGATCGCTTATACATACGGCGTTGTTCTATCACCTGACGGAGTGTGAAAATTTAGTCAACGCAACTCCCACCAGGCCGGAATTTCGCTTGATAGTATCGAGGCAGTATTTCACGAGCCGCCGTAATGTAACGAAGCAACGGAGGCACCAACAGCCTCATTACGGTGGCAGTGTGATCGATTTGAGTTTGTGGCCGGCATGGCGTTGGAGGACACCATGTGAAACAACCTGCTTTCAGCACACGATAAACAGATATCTATCAACTTGCCACTTGTGAGACTCCTTCACAGACGTTGCCAGACAAGCCGCACAGAAGCGACCATCAACAGGTATCCAGTCCAGCAAGGATACTTCCGCCCGGTGACTTAGGACGATGCATATCCCACCGCAACAGCCTCTGGATCAACAGAGGTGCGCAGCCGAAACCGAGTGGGCTGTCAGTTCCCGAACTATCCAAACTATTGCTGAGTGATCATCATCATTGTCAGCTGTAATAACCGCGTACTCGTCGTACTGTGGTTGTAGCTGCCGCAGTTTCGTTCACCGATGGTTTGGAGGGGAGG